TTCGTAATAACGAATTGCTAATTCGTAATTAACGAATTACTAATTCGTAATTACGAATTAATAATCCGTATTAATGAATTAGCTAATTCGTAAATTACGGATTAGTAATCCGTAATAACGAATTAACTAATTCGTTATTACGGATTAGTAATTCATTATTACGGATTACTGAACATGCTTTATTGGCACTAATGGGTTTTCGTAGCAAAGTAAGTAATGTTGCATTGATATCAGAGAATAATTTTTATCCCTTTTTATATTGAAAAGTGTGGTTTTTCTCTCATTGTACAAAAGTGTCCCTTCCGTGCACATAATTCATATTTTTTCATAAAATTACATTTATGATTTTTTTGGTAAACATTAGGCATGTAAAACAATCATCTGGGGATAGTATTAAACAAAAAGTAATTTATTATCTTTTTTAAATGAGGAGAAATATTAGAATATGTAAACCTTTCTGAAAGTCATGTCCAAATTTTGTCCCGTCCATGACGCATACATTTTTTATCATAAAATTTAAAAAAAACCATTTTTTTTTTCAATTTTTCTCTCCCAATAATAAACCTTAGGCATACATGTAAACATTGAACATACTATAACTCTTATAATCTATACAGTTATTGAGATATAACTCAAAATTTCCCGTCCGTGACAAAAAAATACTGTGGAATGACTACAGTAGCTAAGCCTGTAACCTAGATATACTGTACATAATAAGCAGGCCTCTTGTACATTCTGTAAAAATAACCAGCATGGGATCTGTTATTCAAAAGATCATGAATTGCCTCAATTGTATCCTTTGGAATTACTACTGGTTGTACTGTATCCCTTTCCCTGTTTGATAGGCAAGTTTAAATTCATCAAACAATATCTTCCAGTGGGTCATCATTTTGCATCATGCCACCCTTGCCAAATCAGACTTGATGATTCTCCACCTCGTCTTGCATTGAATAATGTTAAACGACAAACAATCAACGACCACATACGATTGAAAACCATTGCGTCCCAGCACAGGTACTCATCACTTATGGTTCTTGATGCCAATGGTGGGGGGGGGGCAGTTCTCCCCGGTCCCCTGCTGACGCCACCCCTGACGCTTCCTCAGAAAGAGAAAAGCAGCCACCTAGAAAATTAGAAAGATTCGCAACAAATAGTGAAAGCAAGATAATGAGCCAACAAGACCAGGGGCCCCCAGTCCCTCGCTGACGCCACCTTTGATGGTCCCACAGAAAGAGAAAAGCAGCCATCTAAAAAATGTAGAAAGAGTCGGAACAAATAATGGAAGCAAGATAAAAGCCTTTGAAACCCCTAAATTGTCATATTTTTTCGGGGGCTTCAGATGAATAGGAAACAAACTCGGAGCGGCTCAAATTGATATCAAAAATTGTATAACAACGAAAATCGCTCATTATTAGTGATCCGCTCCGCTAGCGGATCACCTCTTGTTATTGTCAGAGATCTTTTTTTTTTTCCCCATTTCTTGTTAGCACGATATCTAAAAATTGGCACGAGATTCATACATGCACGCTTCAACAAACATTTAGCTTGGCCTGTAATAGTCACAATAAGGTTTTCAAAGTGCGCAGTTATGCGTGACGTCATCTACGCGCAATTTTGCCTTTTTACATTGCCAAATCAGACTTGATGATTCTCCACCTCGTCTTGCATTGAATAATGTTAAACGACAAACAATCAACGACCACATACGATTGAAAACCATTGCATCCCAGCACAGGTACTCATCACTTGTGGTTTTTGACGTCAATGGTGGGGGGGGGGGCAGTTCTCCCCGGTCCCCCGCTGACGCCACCCCTGACGCTTCCTCAGAAAGAGAAAAGCAGCCACCTAGAAAATTAGAAAGATTCGCAACAAATAGTGAAAGCAAGAAGATGAGCCAACAAGACCAGGGGCCCCCAGTCCTAACAAATTGCAATTTTGAAATCGTATTAAGTGAGCATTAACTTCAAGTCAATGTTAAATGTAATTTCCCTAATTTTACGCTTGTGCGTCATAACGCGCGCGTATGCGTGCGTCAAACTTTTAAAATGCTCGGAATCACATTTAGATTAAATTAAAGCACGTTTCAGGCCATTTTGAGCATTTCAACTTTTTTTGAAGTTTACCACTACGCGTGCGCATTTTTACGCGCGCAACACGTATGGAGGCTAGAAATTAATTTTTTTGTCACATTTTGCGTTCCTGACATTGTTTTGACAAGTTTCCAATCTTTTCAATCACTCTATGGCCAATAACAATGCCGTATGCACGCATCAAACATAGTGACCTTTGAGCGCATTTGTGCCGATATACAGTGAAATTTTGCTAAAATCAGGCCTAATTTTAAACGGTTACAGGTCTTCAGGATGAAAGGTGACCCCCAATTTTTATTACATATTCTGAAAGCACATGAATTGTAACTATGATTTTATAGTCATAATGGCTGATCGGACATTACAGTATGACGTCATCATATTGCCATCTGAATTCAACAAACTGAACATTATCGATGACTTCATTTTAGCAAATGCGCATTTGAGCTTATCTCGCTTATTCTTGATCGATTGTCTTCCAACTTTGAGTATGTTGTAGCTGAGACAATTCTCTTTTATATATTTGGAATTTTTTTACATTTTGATGACATCATCATGGTCAAAATGTAGGGTTTTGCTTACCCCCTCATCTTTCTTTCGTCCAGCCTTTGATGACCCCATAATCACCTTAATCAGTCGTGATTTCTGAATCATATTTAGTGGGTATAAACTTCAGGTCATGGCTAAATGTTATGTACATTATATCTTTGTGCCCGCGTAATAACGCGAGCATTCGCGTGCGTCAAAATAAATATATGCTTTATATCATGTCTTTTTTTTAATCAGTTATAGCCCCTTAGGATGAAAGGTGACCCCTAACTTTTATTACATATTCTGAAAGCACATGAGCTGTAGATATGATTTTATATATCATAATAGCTGATCGGACATTGTGACGTCACCATATTGCCATCTGAATTTTAAAAAACTGAATTTTTATATATGATAAATATTATGAATGATCATTACTCCTTCACCAACAGGCGTTTGTCAATGAAAGTTGATACATATATATCTCATATCAGGAGACAACAATGACATTAAGATGCGCACGTACGTCATGAGGTGTGCATACGCATGAGTAAATCTTTTAAAATGCTCCAAATTCATTTTTAACAAACTAAATTAGCGTATTTTGCCATTATCAGCATTTAAATATTGTTCAATCCGCACCGCGCACACTTCCTCGTGGGTCAAAGTGCGGCGGATCACCTAACTCGTCCTCAGTGAAAAGTTCAAATCTAGTTATATTTTACGTGTTTGTAGTGAATTTCTGGGCAGCAATGTGAAACAGTGTAAGTGGTATCTACTGTAGGTATGAAACCCTTCTTGAGGCTGGCCTTTACCAGTTCGGTTGTAAATTGTCGCTGGTTGCCTTCCCCATCAATGTATCCGAGTTTATTAACATTAACCACAATACGCTGCCCAATACAGCCGCTACCAAACAGGTTCCTTTCTCTTTTAACCATCAAGAGAGCATCGCAGCAAATTTTCGCTATCCTTTCCAATAGGTGCAAGTGGCAGTTTAATTCTTGGAAATTATATTAGCATGGTTGATAATGACTCAGTCTGTCAGGGTGTTGCTGATAGATTAACCATAATTGCTCTGCACTGTCTCAACATTTTTATTCTTCACCATGCTATAAAAATGTGCCAAGTTGTTTATTGTTTCCTTTATGTGCCTCTCATAATTGACTGAGTTACACTCATTACACTGTTTTATTAATGTAACAAGCCTCAATTTGCCTGCACATGACCATCGCTCTTGGCGAGGAGGCGGCAGGAGGGCTCACTCAAGTCATAGACACACAACATCACTTCTGATTTGTGTGGTCTACAATTGTTAATTAATTTAGCTATAGGGAGTTGTTATAATAAAAGAAGCCACCTACTACATACAACTTCCTTCCTAACTATTGATGAGCTTTTTTCATCCCCCACTCTAGCCCAAACTTATTTTTAAAATTATCCCACATCTCTCTCTCCCTCTCTTTGGTCTGATGGCACAAATGTGTTGCAGTGGTTGTGGTCGATCTTCTCCTCGTGTTGCATTGACGACAAACAATCAATGACCATAATGCGATTGAAAACTATAGAAATACAGTAGTCCCAGGACAGGTACTCATCACTTACAAATTTCTTTTATCTATTGGCTTCAACTGAGGCTTTCTTAAGACAGCTTACTGTTTAGCTTTTACCAAGTAGTGTCAGATTCATCATGGTTTGCCAAACCAGCCAGAGAAGAAACTGGTAAGATGAGCCTCTTTGCACATAACACAGCCACATGATTACTTATGCTTTCAAATGGTGTGACGGCTATAGAACCCTTTGCAAGTACTACTCATTACTGATTTTGCAGTGAGCTAACATGTAGAAAATTCATTCTTTTTCTCCAACAAATTGTGGTTTTTCTCCACAATGGGGTTTGGGGGGGGGTGGTGGCGGGGAGCATATTTTTGCAGGAAAATCCTGGCGCCACCACTGGGGAGCACGTAAAGCAGCTTTAACAGCCTCTTCTTTGTAATGCCATCTCTTGAAATGGCGAGAAATCTGCATATGATTCTGCCCATAAGCATGGTTTCGAAAGGTTTTGGTTAACTTTTTTTTCTTTTTTTTTTTCTCTCCTTAATAGAAAAAAGCATAAAAAAAAATACTGTACGAGAAAAAAATACATTATTTATGTAATGATAAGGGTTAAACTTTCCATTGTACTACAGTACAAGCGGATTTATTAGAAAATTTATTTTATTTTACAATACAATTCTGAATGTCAAAATGGTGAGGGGTATGTTGATATCTCTGCCCCTGTCGCTTTGAATCTGCCACAGAATTAGTGCACTGTTCTGCAAAATATAGACTCTTTCATTTTGTATACATGTATCTTACTAGAAGTTTTGAATTTAATTTCAGCGATTACCAGCTATTCTTAAAGGAATTGCGATAGGACACTGCAAGCAGAAATGGAACAAAGAATATCTAAAAAAAGTGATTGGTAAAAATGAGGTGAAAGTTCATGTTTGCAAAACACCCCAAATGGATTTTATTAGAAAGAACTTCATTTACAAGTAAGTTTTTTTATGTACATGTGCTGACACAAGCAGAAGTACTGTAAATTGTCAACAATTCAACTATTTTCAGAATCTGCTGTCTGTAGTCATCAGGACACATCTTTTGGGACCCATATTCATTTACATAATTTGGTCTCTCATTCATTATATTTTTTGCATGATGAGTACTGTAAAATAATTTTATTTACGGCATTTTTTGCATTCTTTTGTTGTATATCTCCAATCAGGACACTAACATTTGATGATTTCATTGAAAGAGCATCAAGTGAAAAGCATCATGAGTACTTCCTCAGTGAGGTATGTTAAATATTAATGAAGAATGATAAGAATGATTACAAGATTCCATTCATTTCTTGAGGGCAAAACATCAATTTTCCATGTCCTTTGACCTTTTCTTCCCAAAACTTAATCATCTCTTTCTTAGATTATTATGTACAGTACTGTACGATTCCACTAAAGAGCTTTGAATCCACTACTGAAATAGGAGACAACTTTTCATATTTGAAACAAAAATATATAACCTACATTTTTGCAGAAAATATTTTCAACCTTTAAATTATATACATTTGATTAAAACGTAAATTTTAACCCTGTGGTTACCAGAGGCGTATTTAGAATTTAAGGAAGGGGTGCAGAATGAAATATGTCAGCGCTGCCTTAGTTGGCGGTGACATGCGAACATTTTCAGTATTTTGTACCACTGGATGACCAGAAATGGGTGTCAATACCTTTAATTCTTTTTATTTTTGACAAAATGAGTAAAAAGAAACCGGATTAGTTAAATAGGTGCTCAAAAATGGCACGTAAATAGTTAAATTACAAAAACTACCATATCCACCTGAGCCTCACCATGGTTTTGGGGCACAGGTGAGTAAATTTTAAGAATTTGAAATTTTATAAGAAAGTATAATACATACTCCAAGTATTGAAATACACGCCATCGTGTTGGGATTCAATATTTCGACATTAATTATGTCATCATCAGGAATGATTCCTGATGATGACATA